TTTTTGAACAATTTGTGTGGCTCACATTCATTTTACTTTTTTCTCACAACCACAACCACACATTTCCACTTTATTCCACTTTCTTAATAGGCGTGCCAAGTCAAACCGGGAAGAATTTTTAGGAACGGAGGTAGTATAACTGAGGAACCAAACCATATTTCTCAATTTTGGAGATAACTACCTTTAAAGCAAGCAAAATTCTCTGTTTCCTTATATTTACTTCAAAAGAAAGCAAATGTGTTTCAGAGGAATCAGGGGAATGTTTTTGCAGAAGCTTTAAATATTTTGTAGCTTCCATCAGAGGATCTTCTACCTACATAGCGAGCAGGCATCAAGATCTCATCCAGCAAAGCATAAAGAATGAGAATACCAAAACTGCTAAATTCAATTTCATTTTAATTGATCTAGACATCTAATACCCTAAAACAAGACATATTAGCACACCTGCAACAACTGTTCTCCATTTGGATCAGAATCAACTACCTTCGCCTGACGCTTTCCTAACTTCGATACACATGTAGCACTGGATTCATCACTTTTCACCACTGCCTCCTAAAAGCATGAAAGTAAGTAATTGGAAAACGTAAATGGCTAATACTGTGTCAAAATCAATAAGGAGCCCATGTAAATACTTTCTTAGCTCGTGCTTCAGCTTTCCTCTGTTTTTGCCTTAGTTTCTTTTTCTGAGATGATGGAAGCTTTGACAATTCATCATCTTCTTCAGTTGTTGGTTTCAATGGAAAATCATACAGCCTCAAGTAGCATCTATAAAATCATTAAAAAATAATATATTTTTTAAGAAAAGAACTGCAAAGACACAACTACATCTTCAGACTAATATATAAAATCATAAAAAAATATATTTTTTTAAGAAAAGAACTGCAAAGACACAACAACATCTTCAGACTAATTGAAGAGCTAATTAAAACCTATATTCACATCCAATGTTCAGACTGGAAAGCCAAATGAGAAGCACCTACCTTATCACACCAGAAGCTGCTTTTTGAAAATAAGCATATGAGTGGAGCCGATCTTGAAGCTTCAGCATTTCCACATACGTTCTAAGTGTCATTTTCCTTAAGCAATAGGAATGAAAATCAAATTGGTCTTCAGTGATATCCAAATAATGTTTTTCCACAGCTAGAAATTTCTTCAAAGCTCGCCCTAAGTCACCTTGCCGCAGATAGCTTTCCCCAGATGCTAGTTCATACCTTGAGAAAGTTTAAAACACAGCAGCTGTAACATAACAAACTTCCATGTACTTGACATTTTATAAAACTTGAATGAATTACCAATTATCCATTTTTGGACAATCAATCACCATTTAAATTTATTCATTTTAAATTGTGATTATTATCCTTTTTTATTTTATCTTTTATATGTATATTCTGTTGGGCTGTAGGCTTCGGCCCACTCAGACCTGGGAGTCATTTAAACAAAGAGCAGCAGCCTGCTCTAGTTAAATGTGCAGGCAGCCCTAGTTGGGCCTATTTCTTTGATGGCAGTCAGGCCCAGAACCTTATTTAAGTGCTTTACCCTAATTGTTTGCCTATATATTGACTCCTGTACTTGTAAAATTATCATCTGTATCATTCATCATCTCAATAAAGAAGAAAACCCTAGTTGCCCCCGTGGATTAGGTCAGTAACACTTACTGGCTGAACCACGTTAATTTCTGTGTGCCGTTTCTTCTCGTTCTTTTCTCGTTTTCAGATTTGTGTGTGTGTGAACCCTAACCTTAACAACTGGTATCAGAGCCAGGTTAGCCACCACCACATATCTGACCACCACCACTGCTGCCGCCCTGCGTCCATAGCCTCTTTGTGCCGCCAACAGTGTGCTGCCGCAGAAAAACACAGCTGGCAGATTGTAAAGGTTTGGGACAATGGCAGACGACGGAAAAACCAAAGTCGAGAAGTTTGATGGACAAGATTTTGGATGGTGGAAGATGCAAATTGAGGATTTGCTGAGGATTTGCTGTGTCAGAAGGATCTGGATCAAGCCTTGACAGGAAAGAAACCAGAAAAGATGAGTGATGATGAATGGACTGCTCTAGACAGGAAAGCTTTGGCTGTTATCAGATTTACCCTAGCCAAGAGTGTGGCGTTTAACATCTTGAAGGAGACTACTGCATGTGGTTTGATGAAGGCTTTGTCAAACATGTATGAGAAACCATCGGCGTCAAATAAGGTATTTTTGATAAGACAGCTAGTAAACACCAGAATGAAAGAAGGTGCTTCTGTTACCTCACATATTAACGAGTTCAATACTATCATATCCCGCTTGCTATCTGTTGATATTAAGTTTGAAGATGAAGTCCAAGCTTTATTCTTGTTATCCTCATTACCAGAAAGTTGGTCAGGAACAGTCACTGCCATTAGCGGTTCAACTGGAACTTCTAAACTCACTTTTGAGGGCATTCGTGACATTATCCTTGGAGAGGATATAAGAAGGAGGAGTTCTGGAGAATCTTCTAGTGCTTTGTTAAGCACTGAAGGGAGAGGTAGAAAGAAAGAGAAGGGAAATAGCAGAGGCAGATCAAAGTCTAGAAAGAGGAGCCAATCAAAGCCGAGAAAAGATATTCAATGCTGGAACTGCAAAGAAACTGGGCATTTCAGAAATCAATGCCCTAAATCATCAGAAAGGAAGGAAGTGAATGCAGCCACTGACGATTCAGATGATGCTCTTATTTGCTGTGTGGAAAACTCAACAGAGTCGTGGATTATGGATTCCGGTGCATCTTTTCATGCTACTTTCAGCACAAAGATGATAAAGAATCTACGGACAGGTAATTTTGGTAAAGTTCGTTTGGCTAATAACGACTCTCTTGACATCACAGGGATGGGTGACATAGACTTAAAGACTTCTTTGGGCACCACTTGGACATTGAAAGACGTTCGGGTCATTCCAAGCCTTAAGAAGATGCTGATTTCTATTGGGCAGTTGGATGATCAGGGATTTGATGTTACATTTGGTGAAGGACAATGGAAGGTTGTCAAGGGGAATCTTGTAATCGCTAGAGGCAAAAAGAGGGGTACTTTATATATAAATGAAGCCCCTGATGATGAGATGAATGCAGTGACCTGCGGGCTGAATCCATCCAGTTTGTGGCATCAACGGCTTGGCCACATGAGTGAAAAGGGAATGAAGATGCTCGTTGCAAGGGGGAAACTTCCAGATCTGAAAAAGGTGAATTCTGAGTTCTGTGAACCTTGTGTTCTTGGCAAGAAAAAGAAGGTTTCTTTTTTGAAGACAGGCCAGACACCGAAAACTCAGAAGTTGGAGCTAGTTCACACGGATGTGTTTGGCCCGACGCCAGTCTCTTCCCTGGGAGGATCAAGCTACTATGTGACCTTCATTGACGACTCAACACGCAAGGTATGGGTCTACTTTCTTAAAAATAAGTTTGAAGTTTTCAATATTTTTAAGAAGTGGAAAACTGCTGTTGAATTGGAAACTAATTTGAAGGTAAAGTGCTTGAAATCGGACAATGGCGGTGAATACATTAGCACAGAGTTTATTGATTATTGTGCTGAACATGGCATTCGGATGATAAAGACGGTTCCAGGCACTCCTCAACAGAACGGAGTGGCAGAAAGGATGAACAGAACTTTGAATGAGAGGGCCAGGAGTATGAGACTCAATGCTGGGCTTCCAAAGACGTTTTGGGCTGATGCAGTGAATACTGCTGCTTATCTTATCAACCGGGGGCCATCAGTACCATTAGGTTTCAAGATACCGGAGGAAGAATGGAAAGGAGAAGCTGTCAGGTATGGGCATTTAAAGATATTTGGTTGCAGCGCTTATGATCTTATGAAAGATGGTGACAAGTTAGATGCTAAAGCCAAGAAATACACTTTCATTGGATACGGGGGAGACAGCATGGGTTACCGGCTTTGGGACTGTGAAAGCAGAAAGGTAATCAGAAGTAAGCATGCTACATTCAACGAGGCTGAACTTTATAAAGACAGAAGCACGACAAACTCAAAGATTCAGAAAGAGCAAATTGAGTTTGAAAATGAAGTCATCAGAAACAGAGAGTCTGAAGATACTCAAGGCAGTGGGAGCATAGAGAATGATTCCAGTACTGACGAGCTTGAGGATAATCAAGGAGATTCTGTTGATAGTGACAATTCAGAAGATGAATCTGCAGCTTCACCCATGCAGCCACAGCCAGTTGAAACACAGTGGGTCAGGAGATCCACTAGAGTCACTAAACCTCCAGAAAGATTCAGTCCATCAGTCAATTACCTTCTTTTGACTGAAAACGGAGAACCAGAAAGTTATCTTGAAGCAGTAAAGCAGAATGATTCGTTTCAGTGGGAGCAAGCTATGAAGGAAGAAATGGGTGCCTTGCACAAGAACAAGACATGGGTTCTTACTAAGCTTCCGCCAAGCAAGAAGGCACTTCAAAATAAATGGGTATTCAGAATCAAGGATGAGCCTGATGGGTCTAAACGGTACAAAGCCCGTTCAGTGGTCAAAGGTTTTCAGCAGAAAAAGGGAGTGGATTATAATGAGATATTTTCCCCAGTGGTTAGAATGACCACCATCAGATTGGTTCTAAGCATTGTAGCTGCAGAGGGCTTACATCTAGAGCAACTAGATGTTAAGACAGCATTTTTACATGGTGACCTTGATAAGGATATCTATATGGCACAGCCTGAAGGATTTCAGATTGCTGGTAAAGAAAATCTGGTCTGCAAACTAAAACGAAGCTTATATGGTCTGAAACAAGCTCCGAGACAGTGGTATTTGAAGTTTGATAACTTCATGATAAGGACAGGGTACAGAAGATGTGAGATGGATCATTGCTGCTACGTAAAGAGGTTCAAGAGTTCATATATCATTCTACTTCTCTATGTAGATGATATGTTGATAGCTGGTGCAGATATGAAAGAGATCAGCAAGTTAAAGAAGCAAATGTCTCAAGAATTTGAAATGAAAGATTTAGGTCCAGCCAAACAAATACTCGGAATGAGCATAGTCCGAAACAAGGAGAATGGTTCTTTAACACTATCCCAGGAGAAGTACATTGGGAAAGTGTTGGAGAAATTCAATATGAATGGTGAGAAGACTAAACCGAGAAACACGCCTTTGGGATGTCACTTCAAGCTTACCAAAGACCAATCTCCGAAAACAAACGAAGAGAACGCAGAAATGGCTAAAGTTCCTTTTGCATCTGCAGTTGGTAGCCTCATGTATGCTATGGTGTGCACGAGACCAGATATAGCTTATGCAGTCGGAGTTGTTAGTCGCTTCATGTCAAAACCGGGGAGAGAACATTGGGAAGCAGCCAAATGGATACTTAGGTATTTGAAGGGTACTACAAAGATGGGGTTATGTTTCCGAGGTAAAGACGTAATTTTAAGAGGGTATTCTGATGCTGATTTGGGGGGATGCAAAGAGACGTTCAAAAGCACTACGGGGTACATTTTCACAGTGGGAGGAACCGCAGTTAGTTGGATGTCCAAACTTCAGAAAAGTGTAGCTCTCTCAACAACCGAAGCAGAGTACATGGCAGTTGCTGAAGCCAGTAAAGAGCTGGTTTGGTTGAGAAACTTTCTTGAAGAGTTAAACAAAAAGCAAGCAGATTACTCATTACACTGTGATAATGAGAGTGCAGTGAAACTTGCCAATAATCCAGTGTATCACGGGAAAACGAAGCACATTGGGATGAGATATCACTTTGTTAGAGGGTTGATCAGTGAAGGAACGATGAACTTGAAGAATATCTCAGGTGCAAAGAATCCAGCAGATATGTTCACTAAATCTGTGACGCTGGACAAGCTGAAGTTCTGTGTAACTTCAACTGGCCTTCAAGAATAATGTTGAGAAGGCAGGTGGCAACTAGGAGAAGCTAAACACAGATGAAGTTTACAGAAGTACAGAGGAGTGGAGTGCAGTTGATTGTGTTTCGAAGCCTCCAAGTGGGAGATTGTTGGGCTGTAGGCTTCGGCCCACTCAGACCTGGGAGTCATTTAAACAAAGAGCAGCAGCCTGCTCTAGTTAAATGTGCAGGCAGCCCTAGTTGGGCCTATTTCTTTGATGGCAGTCAGGCCCAGAACCTTATTTAAGTGCTTTACCCTAATTGTTTGCCTATATATTGACTCCTGTACTTGTAAAATTATCATCTGTATCATTCATCATCTCAATAAAGAAGAAAACCCTAGTTGCCCCCGTGGATTAGGTCAGTAACACTTACTGGCTGAACCACGTTAATTTCTGTGTGCCGTTTCTTCTCGTTCTTTTCTCGTTTTCAGATTTGTGTGTGTGTGAACCCTAACCTTAACATATTCATCTCTTTTATATTATCTTTTTATAATAGCTTATCTCTTTTATTTTATTTTTCTTTTCCTTTTGGTGATATCATGTATCGATTCATGTTAGCCGACCCCAATATCTTTTGGAATAAGGCTTGGATGTTGTTGTTGTAAATTGTGATTATACAATACATTTAATCATCGTTTATTCACTTTTAGATTTAGAAACATTAAATTTATCAAGATATAGACTAATCCCTCCAAAAGCCTTCTAAATCCTTCCATCCAAACTCACGTTAGAGAAATATGTGATTGGGGGGAAATATACCACATGCACTGCATATCATAAAGATTATTGTGCTGATCGCCGTCTTTTGTGAATAATACTGCTGTCTTTTCAGCCAATGCAACCTTCAGTCCAGTGTACAAAGGGAACACGATCAATTACAGGAACCACACTATTGTTGCATAAGGGTATTACACATGAGAGTTCTGCTGCTTCTGGATCTAAGTAAAAAAGTTCCAAAAGATTATAACCTGGTCAGCCTCCAACATACGCTTCACACATTTACTATTAAGATATCGATCTGCAAGATCCATACACCTAGCTTCATCAGCCAATGCAGCTGCTGCTGCCAAGTCACCAGCGTGCTTTAATATTCGGCTCTAGAGTAAAATAGAAAACCACATAGATATGATGAGGAACTAAATATATTGGTAAGGGGGGAGAAGACAAGGTTGCAAACCTATAGATGCTAAAGCTGTTGTTTATGTTTAATACAGTATCTAAGCCGAGTTTGCCGTGTGCTAGTCCTCAGATATCACGTCAGCACTTAGCAGGATTAGCAAATCTTATTGGGTTTTAAATATTGAAATGACTAAACAAACAGAAAGTTGGACATATTTTTACTTCTGCAACTCATGTGAATGCAGCAAGAAAACCGTTTAATGGTTTAACCACAACTTTTCATTATTATAAGCACCTTAATCCCAACAAATTATGATTGGTGTCATCAAGTATATAGTGCCAATTACTTGCGAAAAAAAAACTATTAACACTATAAATTCAAGCGAAGTGCATAGTGGCAATGTTATATGACAGATGTCTTACTTGTGGCAACCTTCATAAGAAGGATAATGAGATGAAAATCCTAAAAACAGTGACCAAAGTAACATCACGTGACCATCTGTTTACAATCAACTTCATGATGGGAGTACGAAGCGTAAACTATGACAAAAACATGGTGCAACATATAATACAGCACAATATCCAGTGTGCACATATTAATCATAATGAAACAAAGTGCACTCATCAACCCACAAGGAGCAACAGATTGTGTGGACAGCATACCAACTGCATGAGGCAAACGTACCTTGACTAGGTATAAATCAATTACAGTTGGAGTGTGTTTTATGGCCTCATCAATTTTTGTAAGAGCGAGATCATACAGACTGCGCCTATCATAATGCTGCAAAATCAGATTTTCTTAAGAAATTTCAGTTTTTTAGTTATTTATTTATTTTGTTCAGGGGGGAAGGGCACAGCCCAAGGAAGGATGTTCAAATGCAACAGGCAACACTAGTAAGACTACGAAAGAGGAAAACCTGGGCCAGGTAAAATAACGTCCACATGAGCGTTGAAGGGGGTTCTTTATCCTCACTGCACACAAATAGAATTCAAGACATAGTCGCATGATGCTAGTTTAAAAAGAAAGCATGCCGATGCATGGTTAAAATCTATGGTCCACTTCATTAGAATGTTTTCAGAAATCATGGTTTATTCTGATATATTGTTCAAGCAAAATGTATCTGTGTCATAGCAATAACAAATTAGATGAAGTGATGAAGCCGACACTTTCTGCAAATCTTAATATAATTCATTAGGGTACATTGTTTAGAGAAAGATCATTACCTCCCGGGATATGTACCAGTTGTCCTGACCGAATGCTCCAACTTCAGAACAAGTTGCTCAAGAATATCTGCCTGTAAATAACCAGGTAGCAGAAAAAGAATAAACAAGTGGAAGGAGATCAAAATGACATTGTCAGTTTCAAACAAGCTAGGAAGTATCCACTGACCTTTCCAGGGTGATCATAAAGAGGTGAAAGATCAGAAAACAACGAAGGAACACCCTAACATGCATTAAAAAATCAAAGTCAGTTCCCCTGTTCAAGGTTTCGATTAAAGGCTTAAACCAATAAACCAGATACTGAAACAGTTGCATACTTTAGTAAGGAGAGGTCTAATATAGTTCCCTGCTGCTACCAGAAAATTTTCACCTCTCAAAAAATCAAGAGGAATTCTCTGCATAATGGGAAATAACACAATAAATTAAAAACATGATACACTAATCATATAAAGTCCGGAACAGAAGAGTCATATATGTATGTGTGTCAGTGTGTGTGGTGTGTTTGTGAAGGTAAAAACAACATTGGCGATATTCTGTAACGCATCCCAAACTAAAGGCAATGAAAGTGATATGCTATAAACCTTGTCATGTGATAATCAGATGTGTCACCATATAAAAGTTAGAAAATGTCTAACCTTGGAACGTCTCATTTAAAGACTTCTGAGTTATGACCCCACATTGTGCAGGTAGAACCGTAGAAGTTATTAATAAGTCATATGAATCATGCAGGAATGCTTAATAACACACACTCATATAACTTAAAGCATATGAAGAGATGAGAAACGAAACATGAGAAGGCATCAATGAGATGTCATGATAGGCAAGCCTCACCTTTACTGCAGATGATCTATGATATTGTTGTGCGAGGGATTCATAAAGAGCTTCTAAGCGATGAATTTCATCAGAAGAATAATTAACATCTCGAGAGTGAAGTCCGAGACATCTTTGTAACCCCTCATAGTATCTATCAGAAACCATATTAGTCAGGGATCTTTATAACTTCAAAGTAATGCCAATAAGAATTTGTATTTTAAAATGACTAAAAATACCCCCCCCCCCAAGTAGTCAAAAGTGAGCGCCTGGGCGCTTAAGCGCACCGGGCGCAGCACACATCAGCCCTATCGACTGAACAATGGCCAGGCGCAGCTATCTGTGTAAGGTGCAAGTTAGGCGCAGAAGCGCTCAAGCGCTCGCTAATCTCGCCTGAGGTGGAAACACAAGTTTAAGCCTAATATTTTAGTTGCAGACTATTTTAAATAAGAAGCCCATATCTTTAATATGATAAAGCCCAACGAAATATCTAAATAAAAGGTCAAAACGATGTAAATTTGCGTTAATCAACACAAGACACAGTGTTCGCTCAACTCTCTTGCTCTGCTCGCTATCCCCACATCATTCATCAACTGCAGAAGCTGGCAGCACAATCAATGACAGTAAGTTTTCTTCTCCTTCACTGTTCCATTTCCTTCGTTTTTCTTTTTTCAGCATCTACTTCTTATAAACTCTATACAAGTCAAACATATATATTTGTAAACTACCAATATAGTGGTCTATCATGTGTGACTCTTCATTATTCCATTTTCTTATCATTTAATTAGAAAATATTTTCCATTTTTCTAATTATTGTTCCATTTATCAGCACTTTCTTATTTAATAATTTTATTCATGAACACTTCATATAATCTAATCATGGAATAGTTTCATGAAGTATACTGTATAAATAATATAAGCCTTGTACATTTACAAGACATGAAAAGTCGAACTTCAGCCATAGGTCCTGAAGCTGCCAAATCGGCAAAAAAAAGACCCGGCTTGAAAACAAAATTACTTGGCTCATGAAATTCATGCAAATGCATGACTTTATTTTGGTGAATCATGACTTTATTTTTTAGAAACATGACTTTTTAATGTAGTTGGTTCAATATGATGTTATATACATCATGTTTGATACTTGCATAATATTATATGCGATATTTTTTAAGTAATGCGCCTTACATGGGTCAGGCGAGCGCTTTTTTGCACCTTGCTCCTCAGGCGATGGGAGTACTCCGTCGCCTTGAGTGCGCCTCAAGACTTTGACTACCTTGTCCCCCCCCCCCAAACAAAAAAAAACGAAGCACAGAATGAATTTGTACAAACAAGTTAGAAGCTATTACTACACTACAAATCACTACATGGAAATATTCACTAAATATTAAAAAGTAGATGGTTATGGTGCTTCCCATAAAAGACGTTAACCCTGATTGTAGTGGTCTTAGCCAATTTATATATGTATAAAGTTCAAGACTCATGTTGCATACTCATTTTTACTTCAAACAAATACTCCATGCGGATAAGGAATAGAAAGAAAGATATTCTATATACCTGTAATTATCGGGGTTCATAGATAGTAACATCTTATACAATCTTTCCCCTTCTTCAAAATGGCAAAGCTTTAAAAGAAGGCGGCCTTCTTGCTCTTTGTATCCCAGCTTATCAACCTAAGGAGCGCATTTATTGCACCCAAACCATTCCAAGGCTTAAATGTCTAAACGTCTTACCAATTTTCAAATTTCTAGTTGTGTGTTTCCAAATAATTATGTAATCGAAACTTACAATTTTAGGTTCTTTCTTGCGCATTTCTTCAAGAGCTCTATCAAAAGATCCACACTCCTCTAATAAAGAGATCTGGGGAGAAATTTTGCATGCATATAATCAAATTATTGAGAAAATTGTCAAGTGAACATATAATCTAAAGTTAAGCATTTCCTACCTAGAGAGACTACCAACAAAGCAAAATGGCTCACTAAACTGTCTGCGCTTCTTTGTTATGAAGCAGCAGTCAGTTCATGCAGTTTTGGACGCGATTTTCACTATGGGTCATCCGGAAACAGTCTCTCTGTGTTTTAGTACAGGGGTAAGACTGCGTACATCCGACCCTCCTTACTCCACCATAGGTGGGAGCCTTTGCGGCACTGGGGTAAATGAAAATGATGATGATGAGAGACTACCAACAAACAATTGAATCAGCTATAATCAAACTCTCGAAGTTCAACATGTTAGCTTAACAGCCATTAGACCAAAAAGCTACAGGTTCAATAAAATTGAGAACAAATGTAATAAACAGTTGATTCACTAAATATATCTAAAACACTCTGACCTATGCATCAATTATCAAACATGCATCCTACGTTTAGTGAGAGAAAAAATATCTACCGGCTCAAAGTCAAATTGTCAAGTATAAAACAGCTATTTTCCTATTTGATATTACCTTATATAAAAGCATTTCCCCATGCTCACAACATTCATTTCCTGGGGGATAATCATCATCTAGAGTCCCTTCATACGCGTCAAGGATATCAACGGCTTTTGATCCACTTGAAAAAAGAAAACAAATTATGAGATTTAAATGATTTGGCTTCAACCAATAGAGCCTAATTCCTTTTCATGAACAAATGATGTTCCATCTAATTATCTTAATAAATAGAAATTTAACTGAGTACAAAATTGTAAAATATATTATACCCGTAGAGAAATTATATGAAATATCTCAATCAGAAGAAAGACAAATGTGCATACAATAAGCTAGGATAACAAATTCAATGAGAACCACCCAACCAAACTGATTACGGAACTGTTCAAGTCGGGAATCTGAAATGGCACTCTAAATCCAACAAAGTGAAGGGAAGCATACTTTGAGTTTAAATGTTGTGCAACAGCAAAGCCAATCCAATTCATACGGTGATTTGGCTTCAATGTCAGCAGTTGTAGTCTTGTTTCAACAAAGCCCGTTAAGTCACGCATTTGTGCCTGTGGTAATTAATAGGAAAAAATAAAACAGAAAGAAGCCAAACAACAATAATAATGATGATGACTATAAACGTGATTAGATTCGCACCATGAACACCGAGAATAACGCTGAAAATAAATGATCATAGCTAATAGGAAAATAATAAAATGTACATGATGGAGAACACTAAAGCATGGAAATCCAACTATTCTCTTCTTAAGATTATCCAAGTATATGATAGGCACACAAACAAGATATATTGATCAAATACAGAAATGTATGTGAGGAACTTGATCGGCAATTGTTGCTTATACCCTAATGAAATGGGACAACATCTACTTGAAAGTAATTGAAAAGACCATATACAACAGTAATACTTGAGTATATTAAGGCAGACCCTGACTCATGAGCAATATTGGAGGCAAATGGCAATAAGCCAATAGGTCCTATATACACAGCCAAATTCTATGACATACATGCTATTAACATGGACAAGAATCAAGATGTCAGCAATGGAACAACTCAACAACTTTGTATCACATTACTATCTACCGTGAACATGGCAATTTTCTTTGAATTCATTTTCACTTAAATCAGCCCTTACAAATCCCCCAATCAAAACCTAAAGCGTGCCAATATGTGAATTTATATCTCTAACATACTCATCACACTTGATGGACTTTTAAGGGTTTAAAAGTGACAGCCTGGCAGGCAGTTTCTGACTCCACACATAATTGGCCTCTTTGAAGTACATTTTATGATATAAGGGTGAAAGTCTTCACCTGCAAAAGAGATAGGTCCCGTAATATCTCAATATTGTCAGGATCAATTCTAAGTGCATTTCTATAGCACTTTATTGCTTCCCTGTATTCTCTGTCTGACCGGTATAAAAGACCATAAACATGCCAGCAAACGTGGCTCTTAAGGTCATTCTGCAAACGGAGATGAGAAGTAGATCATGATGAATATTATATTATATATAAAAGTAAATATATACAAATAATTATATATTTATAGTTTTATACTTAGCATATTGAACAAAAACAGAAAAAATATAAATGGAGAAGTCAGCAAATCAAAGTACCTTCAATCCCATCCGAACAAGGTCATATGCTTCTGATTTGCGACCCATACAATTTAATGTCAATCCTTTCATTGCCAGGGTTTCTGGAGGCCATGCAGATGTTGAAAAACTCATAAAATCAACACAAAATAATTATAGCAAATGATACTGCAACTCCATTAAAAGATAACATGGATGAGATTCTAAAAGTACATCCATCCTCTAGTATGTTTTGCCAACTCATGTTCGGCAAGTAATACTCTCTCTTACAAGAACATCGTAAGGAAGTTACTAACTTGCTAAATGATTAATTCTGATAAATCAGGAAGATTAAACATTAATAGAGTTTGTAGTGCGAAGTTTACACTCTTTAATGAAAATTCAAATACCTCCATGATTAGGAAACTTCTTAAGTATGGCCTCTGCAGCTTTTAGCCCTTTCTTATATTGTTTCGTCTCATATGATTTCTGCATGCCATAAAAAATACATTCCGCAAAGTATGTTTTTTAATCAACTTTTAGGAAGCAAGAGTAATGCAACGCGGAATTCATAAAGGGAAAAAAACTCCTAGTTTGATCAGCAAGGTGCATACGGCATGAATCCCATAGTTAACATTAGTACATCACTCTAGAACTCGCAAGACATCAGGTTATAGAAATAATGGACTGTTGAAAAGAGGGCAGATCTCTTTGACCATCTCACAGTTAGACAAATGACCGTGAAGGAAATCTTTTTTCATCAAAAAAGACAAACCAAGGCATTTGTAACTATAATAATTTTGTTATATACTCCGTATATAATACTATTACTTTCAAAAACAAAACACTACATTTATATGTGTTTAACACATACAATTTTATCAAGAAGTACTAGTCTCAGAATGACATGACTCCCCCAAGTTAATTTTCCAGATTTCTGCTGATGCAGTTCTTTTTTTGCGTGTAGATTGAATGTTATTCAAACCTGCACACGCCGAAGGATCAACTGGGACAAACCAGTCAAAAAGAATCGGAAGAATGCATCCTCTCACGAATAAACACACTGCTAAAATAATGTAAATATAGAACCGCTTTCTTAGACCAAGACAGACTTGGATTGTGATACTATTTTGGTTAGACGAGAGCATGATGTTGGAAAGGGCAAAGTGGAGGGAGAGTGTATTGCATACGTTGAGAGGATTGATCTTATGTTGTTTGACTTCCTCTTTCTCCATCTAATGTTTAACTCTACTATCATATGACTATTCATATGTTTGACCTCAAACTCTTGGGAATAATGCTTGTATGTTGTTGTTGTATAGAACCATTTTCTTCTGTAACTTTATTCACTATACTCGCCGCTCAAAAAAGAGAAATTCCACTAGCACAATTCGAGGGTTTGGGTTCTTTATGGTTTAAGATTCAGTGTAAAATGGATTTGGGAAATTAATACCAAATTGAAACCAAACTATGTTCAGTTTGGTTCAGTTTCATTTTGTTTTTTGAATTACATTACCATTTTGTTATATTTTTATTCAATTTAGTTTTGTCCAAACTCAGTTTGGATTGCATATGGCCATATGGGTGGGTTAATTGGTTTCCGTTTGGACTAGTTCGGTTGGTTCCGTCAAACCAACTGAAATGCCGACCCCTACTGAAAATGCTACGCTTCTCACTGGCAGCTGATATTCCCCCAATCAAAAACATATTTTTGACCAAAAATATTCAACTACTATCATGCTCCACCTAAGCCGAAATTGCACAAGTAGCATAAAAATCAATAATCGCAACTGGAGTAGAAGCCAAACTGATCAGTCCAATCGTAAGCATGAAATCTAGGGTTAGTGTCTGCATTAAATTACAAAACAAATAGAGGAATTCCAGTGATTAAACAAGCATGTTACTTCGGGGAGCATAGAGAATATTAAAACTCACAACCACAGCTTTGAAGAGGTTGGCCTCTTTGGGAGGAAGCGGCGCGCCCATTGTTGCGGAGCAGGAGTTGTGGATGGAGAAGCCGAAGTATAAATAAATAAATACTCCCGCTGGAAAATACTTCTAGCCTTCCTTTTTCCTTTTTACTTCTCAAAAATATTTCTCATTTTTCTTTTTTGGACAATTTGTTTGGCTTACATTCCTTTCACATTTTCTTACGCAACCACAACCATATATTTTCACTTTATTCCACTTTCTTAATAGACGTGTCAAATCGGGAAGGATTTTTAGGAACGGAGGTAGTACGTAGTATATAAAAATATAGGTTAAAGCGTCAAATAGGTACATGAACTAACTTAAAGTGTTCAATTGGCCCCTTATATAAGAGGTTCTGCTCGGCCGTCACCAATTGGAGTAGTTCCCGGTGGAATTTTTTGATGAAAACTTTTAAGCATCTTCTTCATTAAGTCTAGTTTATTCATATCAAATGTCAGCTAAAAATTAAATAGGGAAGGCACTCCAATGATTTTCCAAAATGTACTGCGTTGTTTACCTGCGCATTTATCTTCAAAAAATCATTTGACTGCCTTCCCGATTGAATTTTTAGCTGAAATTTGGTATGGATAAACTAGACTTAATGAAGAAGATGCTCAAAAAATTTCATCAAACAATTATACCGGGAAACGCCCCAATTGGCGACGGCCGGGCAGAACCTCCTATATAAGGGTGTAATTGAACACTTTAAGTTAGTTCATGTACCTATTTGACCCTTTAGCCAAAAATATATGTAATATATACGATAGTATATATATAGAAAAGATCGGTCCATCCGGAGGGACGGGAGGCTCCGTCCGGCCGAGGCCATCAGAGGCCCTTCCCGGTGATATTTTTTGATGAAATTTTTTTAACATGGTCCTCATCAAGTCTAGTTTATTCATACCAAATTTCAGCTAAAATTTCAACCGGGAAGGCACTCAAATCATTTTTGGAAGATAACTACGTTTTATATGTATATAAACTGCGCAGTTAACTTCCAAAAATCATTTGACTGCCTTCTGGAATGAATTTTTAGCTGCAATTTGGTATGGATAAACTAGACTTCATGAAGACCATGCTCAAAAAAATTCATCAAAAAATTCCACCGGGAAGGGCCCCAAATGGCAGCGACGGCCGGACGGCGGATCCTGTCCCTCCGGCTGGACAGGATCATTCCTCAGTATGTATGTATGTATGTATGTATATATATATATATAGGGGAGGGTTCTAGTGAGAACCCCTCTTAAAATGAGAACTCGTGAGAACCCTATCAACCGGTGGTATATATATATATATATTGGAATTTTATCAATTCAAGACCCGAAAGATAGATTAACTATCAATTCAGGACCTAAAAGATGAAACATGTCGATACAGGACCCAAATGATGGGAAATTATCATTTTAGGACCTAACATTTCATAGGTTTTGATTTTTTTAATTTTTTATTAATTCCATTACTAATTTTTTAAAGACTTCTCTTCACAAAAGTTTATTAGTTTAATAAAACTAAATAATATTTAAAATTTTCAAAATAAAAAAATTACAAAATTTATGAAAACTTAGGTCCTAGATTGATAGTTTTCAATCATTCAGGTCCTAAATTGATAGTTTTTCATCATTCGGGTCCTATATAGATGCATTTCATCTTTCAGGTCGCGGATTGATAATTCGTTTAACTTTCGGGTCCTGAATTGATAAAATTCCATTTTTTCCCCAACCCGAAAATCCATCACTTCGATGGGGTAAATGTCGGGGAACATTTACCTAGTTTATTAAAACATCCGTTTGTGTTACATTAATGGGATGAAAATAAATTACATTGGAAATAAACCGGTCTGATGAAATTAGAAAGGGGAATGTAGACAGCAAAATGCCAAGGTGGGCCTAATTCGCCCAAGGAGGCCCATAAGAAGTATATATATACTATCGTATATGTGTGTATATATATATATATATATATATATTGGAAATAAACCGGTCATTTTGGTATCTTTTCTTTTGGAAACGAACTACGGTCTTATCTTTCTCGTACCCTTCATCTGCAAGCTTTTTTCTTTTTTCTCTCTCTCCTTCATCGGCGACGTCTTCACAATTTCTCATCTTCGTCGGTGGCATCTCCACGGCCTCTCGTCTCGTTCGCTCATCTTCGTCTTTCATCTCTCCTCTATTCCAGAATTTCTATTATATCACATCCATGGATTACTCCATGTTTATTTTCATCTCGAGCTCATTCAATCTGAAAATTCTGAAAATATCATATTCTCCCCATGGATGGGTGTAAGTTATTTCGTATGATTTACATATTAATCCGATTTTCCCATATGATTAATTACACTATCTCTATTTGAGTCTACATTGTTATCGTTGAATTGATTTTTTTAATAAGCATATGAATCCAATAGTGAATAATTTGCCTTTAGATTATGTGATTGTATTCTTGTATACGGCTTTTGTTGTATATGTGCTTATGTCGATTGAAAATTTTCTTATTTGGATGATGATTTGTTGTTCTTTCAGTCACCAGCAAGTTCACCTTTGCTTATATTTGCATTCACCCTCTCAAGTATATAATGCACTAACATAAATTATTCAACTCAATTATGAACAATTTTGTTTTTAGATTATGTATTTGTATTCTTCTATACCAGATATTCAGATGAAACAATTTTTACACAGCTGTATTCGTGTGTATGTTGATTGAGACTTGTCTTGTTTGGCCGTTGATTCATTGCTCTTTCAGCCATCCAGTGGTGCACTTTTACCCATTGTTTTGTGCACTCCATCAAGAAAATAATGCACTGAAGTGATTATTCATTGCTCTATCATTTTATAACTATGCTTTACATTTTTTTAAGATTTACAATTTCCGCTAACACAATACTATCTGTTGCACTTTTCTGTTATAATAGATGCACTAATACAGATTATTCTTCATGTGATAGATACGGAACATCGTAAGAATACACATACACCTCTCACGAGAGAATTATGATTCATTGTGTTCTTGTATAAGAAATTTCAATGTTCACTTATAAAATCATTCAAATAATATATATTAGCACAAACTCAAGTTATATAAAGTAAATGTGCATAATGCATCAATTAAAAGTGAATTTAATAAAATGTTAATGTGCAGACAAAACAGAATATTCTTAATTACTGAATTTGGAAAGTAAAGTTTGAAATGAAAGGTGCACAAAAATAATTTAACTAAAAGTGCACTAATTCAATAGTTAAAACTTAAAACACACATAGTACACAAGCCAAAAAAAGATGAGTAAAAGTGCATAAATAAAGTGTAGATTGATGTTATAGGAAGTGAAAAGTAAATATTACATTAATTTTAAATAGAGTGCATTAAATAATCTGCATTAATAAATAATATTTTGATGCACTTATCATATCTTTTTCATACACTTTTTATTATTTATAGTTTACTTTTTTGCAGATACACGTGACATTGAATGACAATGTCATAGTTAGATAATTGCCACGCTTCAGAAAGAAAAAGTGCATTATTTTGTAAAAAAAAAGTGTTAATGCATTGTTCCAATTGTGTGATAGTTCTATAGTAGTTCATTTTGCATATATTTAAAACATACACGATAAAAGTGCATTTCGCTTTATTAGAAAGTGCCAACATAGAATTTACAAAGTATGATATCGTAGAGCACTTTTATTAATATTTGAAATGCACATGATAGCTATTTGATTACACCTGTATATGTTTATTTTGAATTTTATTTAGAAATACATGAAAGTGCACAACTACAAAGATTAAATTAAAATGTATATGTTTCCGCTTATAATAAAATATGCATTTAAATTACAAATCACATCAGTGTTATCACAGTGAAATGCACTTTTAAATTGTAATCCTTGCACTTTTAAATTGTAATCCTTGCATATAACAATGTTTCCACTTAAAATAAAGTGCACATTAATTACAATATATTAAAATAATTATTTCCATGTATTTTATATCAAATATATATCCGAGAATAGTTAATATATATTTCCATAAATTTCAATAATAGTGCACCTATTCAAGGTGGTAGCGCAAATAGATAAACTTATTTTCCTTCCATTGATGAAATATAATAAACGGTGTATCAAAATTAGAAGTGAAAAAAATTAAAAAGTGAAAATGAAAAGGTGAAAGAGTGACATATAGAAATTTTTAAAAGCATTGGACGTCGGTGATCGAATAGGTGAATGATAGCATGCCCATCTAATGGGATTTTCTTCCTGTATGTGTGTAGGTACGGTCCAACTGTCATGGAAGTCTTTTACCCAAATACCCCTTACTATTATTTGTATGCAGCCATGCCAATTTCGAAGTTAGCACACATGCCCCATGTGTTTTTTTTTTCCTCCGAATTCTCGAATGCGAGCCGCACGATCGGAAGAATCTAGGGCCCAATTTTGTTCTTATTTCTCTCTTGGGCTTATGTTCTCACTTGATCCTTCCCCTATATATATATATATACATATATATATATATATATATATATATATGATAGCATATATATACTCACTTATAATAACATTCTTAAAACTACTTCTACTTCTAAAGAAAACAGAAGCAAAAGTCTGGGTGTTTGAGTGAAAGTATAGAAGTACTTTGGGTGCTCTAATTTATTCCTAGAATCAGTTTTTTAGTAGATGGGTGAGACGAGTGATGGAGTATATGGCCCAGGGACCCCCGGCCCACAAACTCCTACTTCTCCTACACAGACTCATCAAGCCCAGTGAGCACACAAAGCCCAAACATAGCGGCCCAAGTCTGAAGAAGCCCGCGGTGCACATGTAGATGCCTTCGACCCCTATGGACGAGGGCTCCAAATTCCACAGGACAACTAGATTTAAGCATACGAAGCTACTCGGAGAAAATGACAGAAAATAGGAGTCTTCAACTCCTAGGCGCCCTCGGCACATGAGTAGCCTTCGGCCACAGGATAGGCCTTCGGCTACAGCACACTCAGCGAAGATTCCTTTTAGAGATAGGCAACCATCGCATTCAATGTGCCGTCACGTCTAACCACTGCGTTTAATGCGGTGCACATGCAAATGTCGTGCCACCCCGATTGAGGTGACCCTCGGCCGTCAG